TGCTGCTACAGGATCCACACAAACACTCCTTTACAGGCTCCCTTCGTTTTTCTAAAACTTTCTGGAGGGAAAAAGCTTGGGCCTATTTTTCTGTAAAATAACTTCCGGTCAGCTTTGCATATCTGCAAACCAACTTGTACTTATGATAGCAATTTCTTGCTCAGAGAAGCACAGTTAAACCTTTACATACACACACATATATATCAGAGAATGCATGATAACTTTGTACAATTATTCTAACGAAAATACATGACATATTGTTAAATAACTTTGTATATTTATTACTTATTGAAGTTAGTAATATGACATCTACATTTACATAGCTTGTTGCTCTGTTCAGGGGTGTCACCTTTTGGCGAAATTGGCCGTTTTGAATCCCAACAAGGTCATTTTTGTGATTAATGTAAATCTGCAATAAAATACTTGGTGGTGGTGGAGGGGGGGTGAGGCAATGCACCCTCCTCGTTGGCGCCTCTAGATGAAAACGATACATAGATCCTGCATTTAGCTGTGGGGAAGGATGGTGGAGAAGAGTGACAGCGATACTCAGACATACATATGTAGACCAGGATTGGGCAGGTTGCTAGAATACGGGAGCGTGTCCGCCATCTTGGATGTGGCAGAACTGCCTGTAAACTAATATAAGAAAACAGACTGAACTGCATAAAGCACCTTTCTACAGAGTGCTTTAAGTTAATGAACCTTATTCACCCATTCACACACAAACTGATATATCTGGGAAGCAAATAAGCACCAAATAAAACGTCTGTAACTTTGGAAGTGATGATTATAAATGTTTACTCCTGATGTTTAGGATATAAGGAAGCACCAAACCAGCATCTGTACTTTAATGCTGAGTGTTTTCAGCTACTAATGCGTGTAACTCTGTTACTGTAATAGAAATATTGAACTCTAACATGTAATCTGTGTCCATAAGGAACAGATCCTGAACAGTAGATGTGACCTGAGGGTTTTCTGGATAAAGAGCACAAACATTTACATTTAACGTAGAGAGGCTCTGCCTCACCTGTTTTTTAGGGTGAGCAGCTCTGATGATGGGGGTACAGCATCAGACACCAAACTACCTCGTACATCTCAGGACAGCCTTTGGAGAAGTTGGCCAACAACAAATCCTTAGATTTACACCTGTCTGATTAATGGTAAAGTAGATGTCTATAGGATGTGAGATGATCCTGAACAGAACCAAACCAGAGTAAAGCTGAAGTAAATTTGGTGTGAGCAGGGTGCTCCAGCTGCTTCTGTTTGGCTGTGGGCCCTGAACACACCGTCTGGTTCATGTCTTTTCTTCCCTTTTCTCAGAGTGACTGAAGTCCAGAAGATGGACAGAGCAGAGTCTGAGGCTCTGAACAGGGACCGGTCCAGACCTCCAGACCTCAGAGCTGGTCCGGGTCCATCAGACACAAAGTAAGAGAGCTGCTCATGAAGGGCTCAGTGTCTGATCTGAGGTGGAACATCTAAAGGTGTTTATGAGCAGCCAGCCGAGGCTGTTTCTGCTGATGGACCCTTTAGATGGGTTTGCTAATCCCCCCGTGGGAACGTCACTAACCAGAGAAATATTTGTTTTAATCAGGGAGGTTTGACCTGTAGAGAGCTGGAGCCTTTATTATGGGGGGGGCAGTCTGATAATCCTGACCATCTCCTCCATGAAGTGACTCTCCAGTGGTTCTCATGGGGGTGTTTTTAAGGAGGAGCGGTCCGTGGACCTAGTGGTGGTGAAGACCACAGTGACCCAGTTCTGAATTCAATTCAATTCAATTCAATTTTATTTATGTAGCGCCACATCACAATAACAGTCATCTCACAGTGCTTTCCAAACAGAGCAGGTCAGACCCTACTCTGAATTTGATTACAGAAACCCAACAATTCCCACCCTGAGCAAGCACTAGGCGACACAGGCAAGGAAAAACTTCCTTTTAACAGGCAGAAACCTGGAGCAGAACCATGGCTTAGGGTGGGCGGCCATCTGCCTCGGCCGGTTGGGGGTGAGGGGAAAGAGAGGGCAAGAGAGAGAGGGCGAGAGAAGGAAAGAGGGAGCAGAAAGAGGCAGCCTACAGTAACACATAATCTAGATGAAAAATGGCAATGATATTAATACTAATGATAATGGTAGAAGTTATGACACTATGCAGAAATAACACTATGCAGAGTAGTAGCAGAGCAGGAACACAGGGGCAGCAGGAAACTCCCAATCACAGATCCAGACTCCACAGCTCTAGGAACACCTGCAGGAAGTGATAGGAGGAGACTCCCAACCACAGATCCAGACCCCACAGCTCCAGAGCCAGGAGTATCTGCAGAAAGTGATAGGAGGAGAGAAGAGAGGGACAAGAAAGCACAGGACTATGGGAAAGAGTCCAGTTAGTAACTTGCCTTCATGGAATGAGGCTGAACTGGGAGGGAGAGAGATAAACAAGAGGGGGGCCCAGTGTATCATGATGCATCCCCCGGCAGTCTGGGCCTACAGCAGCATAACTAGGGGTGGACTTACCCTAACTATAAGCTCTATCATAAAGGAAAGTCTTAAATATAGAGACGGTGTCTGCCGCACGGATCCAAACTGGAACCTGGTTCCATATAAGAGGACTCTGATAGCTGAACGCTCTGGCACCCATTCTAGTTTAGTTTAGTTGAATCAGGTCTGGACTTTCCAGAGAGCCAGAGTCCTGCACACAGGGTACACATATGTGCTGTGGAAGCCTTTGGTTAAATCAGGAGACATAATGGGGTGAGACAGAGGGATGAGCAGGAACACTAAGCTGGTGTTTTCTGCTGTGTGTGCTCTGCCTTTTTTACTTGCTGACTCCACTCACAGAGTACCTGGATTTCCATCAGAGAGTTTCTCTGTGATGATGTGAACAACATGTTTGTGTTGCAGAGGTCAGAGCCACAGACAGAGAGCAGAGGATCCACAACCCGACTGTGTGTCTGTGAAGAGTGACTGGTCCATGCCTGAACCTCCTGTAAACCTCAGAGATGGACATGGACCCCCAGACACAAAGTAAGACCTCTGAAACAGAGGGTTCAGGAGTTATTCTCAGAATGTGGGAGAAAGTTTCTGATCCAGACATGTTTCATTCTGAATGTTGTGAGTGATCTTTGCAGCATATTCAGAACAAACAGACCCAGATTCAAACAGTCTGTGGGCTCTATTGAAGGGACTGATGACAAAAAGAGCGGCCCAGTAATGGAAACCTATTTTAAAACCTTTTCCAAATATTTATGTGGACCTGAATCAGCCTCTAATCCTGCTCCATGGTACAGGCTCCAGATTAACAGCAATGCAATATAGACCCTGAACCCAACATATCCAGTTAAATATCAGATTAAGGTCTGGAGTTAACATCCCTGATTTACATCTTTGTGTTTGCAGGCCTCAGTAATTCTAAGTTAACTAAAGATTTTCCATTCTAAAACCAAAATGTAGAGAAGTGCATTAGAATCTGTAGTTAAATGGGTTTGTTATGAAAATGGTTTCCATCAGAGAAGGTTCTTGGTTTTAGTTCCTGGGGGAACCAGGACCTTTCTGGGTGGAGTCTGCATGTTCTCCCTGTGTCTGTGTGGGTTGTCTCTGGTTCTCCGGCTTCCTCCCACCGTCCAAAAACCTGCATGTTAGGTTAACTGGACCCTCCAAACTGCCTCTAGGAGTGACTGTGAGTGTGTGTGGTTGTGTGTCTCTGTGTGTCCCTGTGATGGACTGGAGACCTGTCCAGGGTGGACCCGCCTCTGGCTTGTTGTTAGCTGGGATAGGCTCCTCCCCCCATTGACCCAGATGATTAGGCAGGATAGAAAATGGATGGACGGGTTTCCATTAGAGAGTTTGTCAGTGATGATGTAAACAACATGCCTGTGTTACAGAGGTCAGAGCCACAGACAGAGAGCAGATGATACACAACCCGACTGTGTGTCTGTGAAGAGTGACTGGTCCATGCCTGAACCTCCTGTAAACCTCAGAGATGGACCTGGACCCCCAGACACAAAGTAAGACAGGATTCAACATGTGATTTCTATGGTTCCTCTTTAAAAGTCTCCAGTGAGGTTCTGTTATCCCTCCATGAGGGTTTGTCCTGTGTCTTCCTTCCTGTAGTGTTCCACATGAGGATCAGGGGGGCTTCACTGTGAAATGTCCCCATGATGAATGAAGTTTCATGACATAAATGCTGAATGTAGAGCAGCAGCTGTGGGTTCAGCTGTGGAGTCTCCATAGAAACCAAACATTGAATCAAAAGCAGGAAGGGCAGCAGGGAGGTTTCTGTTCCCATCAGGAGCAGAGACAGCAGCTCTGGCTCTGCTGGAACCATGTTAGTGATGGATAAATGTCTTCACAGAGGGAGGAAGAGGAGTGGTGTCTGGGAGGAGCAGCAGCTGTCCAGCTGTGCTTTGTGTCAGGACGTCCTGAAGGATCCAGTCTCTACCAGCTGTGGACACTGGTTCTGCAGACAGTGCAGTGGCTCATACTGGGACCAGTCTGACTCATCAGTGGACCCCCCCTGTCCCCAGTGTGGAGAAAGAACCAGGACTGTTGCAGGTCAGATATTTCTTTATATATATATATATATATATATATATATATATATATATATATATAGTGTTGTGTGTTGAGTGCGTTTTTGATGGTATTCTATTTAGTTTAATTGTTTTTTTTCGTTCAGCAGATGTTGGCCTGCAGCAGGTCTTAGAGGAACATAAGCTGAGTCTTATCAGGAGATGTGAACATGTGACTGAAGGGTTTGATGGAGCAGGAAGTGGAACCCTCCTCAACAGGGTCTACACTGAGCTCTACATCACACAGGGACAGAGTGAAGAGCTTCAAGCTCAACATGAGGTGAGGCAGCTGGAGACAGCCTCCAGGAGCCTCCAGGACGCTCCAATCAGGTGCCAGGACATCTTCAAAGCCTCAGCTGGCCAGCCTGGAGCCATCAGAGTGGTTCTGACCCACGGCGTGGCCGGTGTGGGAAAAACCTTCTCGGTGCTGAAGTTCACTCTGGACTGGGCCCAGGGCCTGGAGAACCAGGATGTCAGTGTGGTGGTTCTGCTCTCATTCAGGGAGCTGAACCTGCTCAGAGATGAGCAGCACAGCCTTCTGGGGCTGCTGGCTCTCTTCCATCCAGCATTAAAGGGGCTCCGAGCAGAGCAGCTGGCTGCCTGCAGACTGCTGCTCATCTTTGACGGCCTGGATGAAAGCAGGCTGTCCCTGGACTTCACCAGCAGCCCCGTGCTGACTGACCTCACCCAGAAGTCCCCAGTCAGCCTGCTGCTCACAAACCTCATCAGGGGGGACCTGCTGCCCTCGGCCCGGCTCTGGATCACCTCCCGCCCCGCAGCAGCCAATCAGATCCCTCCTGCATGCGTGGACAGGCTGACAGAGGTACGAGGCTTCACTGATTCCCAGATGGAGGAGTACTTCAGGAGGAGGTTCAGGGACCAGGAGCTGAGCAGCAGGATCAGCTCCCACATCAGGAGCTCCAGGAGCCTCCACACCATGTGTGCCATCCCCGTCTTCTGCTGGATCTCTGCTGCAGTTCTGGAGGACATGTTGACCACACAGCAGAGAGGAGAGCTGCCCACCGCCATGACTGAGCTGTTCTCACACTTCCTGCTGGTCCAGAACAAGAAGAAGAAGCTCAAGTACCAGGAGGGCCAGCAGACCAGTCCACAGGAGCTGATGGAGGCCGACAGGGAGCTCCTTCTGAAGCTGGGGAGGCTGGCCTTTGAACATCTGGAGAAAGGAAGCATCCTGTTCTACCAGGAGGACCTGGAGCAGTGTGGTCTGGATGTCACAGAGGCATCGGTGTACTCAGGAGTCTGTACAGAGATCTTCAAAAGAGAGTGTGGGATCTTCCAGAAGCCAGTTTA